AACCCCCCCCCACCCTCGTCTCGTCTTACCCCCCCCCCCCCCCAAGAACCTTACTTACTTAACTTAACTTACGTACAACACATCACTTCCCATCCATCTACCTACCCAATTAATTTATCACTCTCTCTCCCCTCTCCTCAAACCCCCCCCTTCTTCTTTCTTCAATCTTTATCCGAATCAAGCTTCATTTTCGAAATCACCATTGTTGTTATCATCACCATCACCATCACCATCACCACCACACCACACCACAACACATACTACTCAAACCCACATACCACATACCACATACCACATACACTCACATACCAATAAACAATAAGTAATAATAAAAATAACGGTATAATAATGATATATCATAATACAAGCAATCCAGCTACCCTACCCATCCCTACTCATACCTGCTAATATATCTAACTACTCAGTATCCACTAATCCCTACTTTAATTTTTTTCTATCCCATTTGCTCCCTTATCCTCTTCCTAGCTATCCCCTCACCAGCTATCCCTTCACCACCACACCACCGCACCACCTCATCCCATCATATCCCAAATCCAAATCCAATACCAATACCAATACTAATAAACTTCATCGATTCCTTCCCTTTCTTCCTGTCCCTTCATTTCCTTTCCTCTCCCACTACATCCCATCATATCACATCATATCACCCTCCATATTCAGTTCCATAAAACCACAAACAAAGCAAAGGAGCAAAAGAGCAAAATACACACTTCCGACCTATTTATCCAAAAAACGTTTTGGGATAATATCTGGACACTGTCCACTACCCACGGTCCATGTCTACGGACCATATCCATTGACTAAAGTAACAAAAGAAAATTGATTCAAATAAAGAAAGAAGAAAAATGTACATAGAAATCATTATTTAACACCCGCTAAATCCCCATCCATCTCACGCAAAACACCCACCAACCGTAATGGAATTTCCTTTTCATTACTTTCCTTTTGACTCCTATTCCTAGGCCGTTGAACACCGAATCACATTCCGTAATACAATTGAAAATTCGAAAAGTCTTTTTCTTCTTGTCCATTTGATATCATGGTTTCCCAGACGATGGATTAGTGGAAGGAAAAACTTGAGTAGGTGCAATTCTTCTCTTTTTCTTCTCATGTCCAGCTCCAGCTTCTTCTTTTTCGCTCTCGCTTGCATCCCCTGGACGTTTGATTCCCGCTACCGAGCTAGTGGCACTTCGAGGAGTTTCTGGAGGTGTTGTCATTGGTAATCCTGATGCGATGTTCGTGGCGACGATACCAGGAACACTACTCGCGAGTGGGGTTGGGTTGCTGATAATCGTGCCTAGCGCCGGTGTGGCATAAGATGATTGTGTTGCAACTGAAGAGGTAGAATTTGATCTCGTGGGTGAAGAAGGTCGGAAACTTGCGATAAGAGCGGGAGGGGGCGATGGCGCAACCATAGGATTAGAAGGTGCACGATGATGATTATTTGAGATTGGAAATGGCGATGGAGGTGGAATTCCCGCTGTCGGTGTTGCCATGGGAGTATTTTGTGTTGATGAGACAGCCGAGCCAATTACGAATGAACGTTTTGCAGTTGGTACTTCTTCATCATAGATTTGTCCGAGTTCGCCAGGTGCGAAAGTTAATGTTGAACAGAAACCATCGGAAGATGTCATCAATAATGTCATTCCATCGGTCGACCTAAAACAATTAGCATTGATCAAGATATTTGTGTCAAAGTAACGTTAGAGTAAACATACCAGGACAAATCTGTAAATGTTGCACAATGTAGATTGCTCACTATACAAAGTGGGGTCTGTTGTTGTGTATCATACAACAAAACTGAATCCTCTGTGGCAACAGCGTAAACCATACGATAAGGTAAGGAGAATGCCATTGTTGGACCTTGAGAAGTGACATTCGTTTCAACTTCCAAAGGTTTTGGTTTCGATGAAGAGCTGGGTCTTGACGATTCACCACCTTGTAATACAAGTGGAGGTGGTTCCATTGAAGCATGTGATGGTAATTTAGGAACTATTGCTGGCTCTGGCAATGCTGTCATCGTGTCATCAGCGGATGATGTGTCGATTGTAATATACTTGGTAATAGGTGGGGGAGCTCTTCGTGTTGTATAGTAAACTGGAGAGCATTTTACAGCCACAGAAGGTTTCTTATGTCCCGGTAAATGTGCGACAGGAGGCTTGTTGATTCCACCTCTTGTATAGATATAAACCGTATTGATCACTTCATACATCATCTTCGCACCCTCTTCTGGCCCCTTATTTTGAGTTTGATATTGACCGGCTGGCGTGAAAAGAAGACTCCCATCCGGTGTAAATGCAAGTCTACGGAAAAATGACTTAAGGGTTTCATTGGCGTAGATATTGGCATTTTTGACTCCAAGTCCAATCATCGAGTATGGCTTTGGTGATGCTTCCATAGGCATTACGGCGGGTAATGGCATAGATGGTGCAGGAGAGGCTGATCTTCGCATGGACATTGTTGGAGAAGACGCACCAAAAGAAGATCTCCTACTGTGACTAATAACACTAGGAGGATTCATTGGTAATGCCATAGAAGTTGGTGTACCTGGGCATGATGGTCCTGGCGAGCCTATTGTATTTGGAGTTTCGGGAGGATATTGTGATCGAAATCCAAGCTCGGGTGGTGCTGGACTATTGGACGAGATTCTTCTTCCTGGTAAATCCATCTTCAAATTATGACCAATCCTCTTTGGTTCCTCTCGATTGTCGAGACTGAATTGTCCATCTTTCGTTCTCAAGGTATAAATGTGGACGGATCGATCGGATGATTGTGTCGCGATATATTCATTCAATGGATCCCATGCAACACCTTGAACATAATGTTGATGCTCGGCGATTTGCCTAATGAGTTGACCTAGATGTGATTGATTAGTTTCTAGTGTCATGAATCAAAACTTTGATCAAATACCAGTTTGAGCATTGTATATCCTCGCAACATTATCCATGCTTCCAATTATGAAGTAAACAGAATCTGGAGACCAAGCCAAGTCGTATATTTCAGCACCCGATGAACGACACATATGTTTCGTCCGCCATGTTTCCTTTTCTTCAAATCCATCCCCTCCGAATGCAGGTGTAATATTTGAAGTTTCGCTAGGTACCCAAAGTAATACATTTCCATCGTCTCCAGCAGATGCCAGTAATTCACCTACAGATTGATCAGCCTCAATACCTCTTGATGTGTATAAATGTTGCCCTCGTACCTTTCGGAGCCCATCTTACTACATTGACTGCTTGTGTATGTTTTTGTAGAGTAGCTAGGTATTCGACTTTGCGGTCTTCTCCATCGGAATCTATCTTCCATAACTACATACTAATTAGCATTTCTTTCATATCTAAATTCAAGGTCGACTGAACGTACCCTAACATGCCCATCTCCTCCTGCAGTAGCTAGTCTTCCCTTTCCAGCCTTTTCCCAATCACAGCTATATATGGGAGTATTCGAATCATGCCAGTTGATGATTAAGGGTGTGGCCTTCATTATGCCGGTATCTCTCGAGGTCGAAAATTAATGTGCCGGTATGAGATTTGAACGTCGGTTGAGGGCTAACCAGTACGTTTCGTAGTTCAATTCGCAGCCCCTTTATCTGAATAAGTATCTTGCGAAATCGTACTAGGTGAATGTAGAATGATGGTTTGATTGATGAGTGTAAAAGTATTTGAAAGGGTTGTAAGGGTAGGATTGCTGATACTGGGATTATAGGTTTGGATTTCAGCACGATAGAAACTTTGATCATCCTCTGTACCTCCGTAGTGATGTGACAGTGATAGCGATGGATAAGAAAGGTACATGAGATTATTTTTCAAAGGGAATGTATCGGAATTGATGATAAAAGGATAACAAATTGAAGTAAATTCCTAAGTGAATTCCTTTTCATACAAAAGTAATTTCGTCAAATTGAGGTTATAAGATAGTAATCCTGACCAGTACCACTTCACGCTTTTTGCGCGTCTACTCGTAATCAATTTCACGCGTTTATTGATTCCAAGTTGAATTGAGGAGGTCAATGTATAATCCAGTAAATGTATCTACTACAATTTTCTTGTTTTCCCCAAACTATTTGCATATCCAAACCGATAGATACAGTACGAATAACAATACAAGCACATACTCGAGTAGGTACCTATGTATCATTCTTCTCCGATTCTATATCACGACATGGTTCAAATCAACCAACCCCTTCATTGATTATATATAATAAAATCCGTAAACGAAAGCTTATATATATATAAGGTTATATCCACAATCGATACAACTTCTACTCAGCCTCTTTAATACTGTATCCTTATACCCAAATCTTCACATAGAGCTTAAGCTTCTCCTATCAGTCTCATCCCAATAGGAGAGAAGCCATCACAACTTGTAGCTTGACATTGCAGTACAGTACAGTACAGTACAGTACAGTACAGTACAGTACGCAAACGAGACGACGACTGCAGTAAAATACTGTACCTGAGTGGAGGTTATGATCATTGATGACTCGAGCGTATCAAAAATGACAGACAGACAGTCAGTCCCGGGTCCTGAATCTGGTCCTGAATCCTATCATGAATTAAGCATTTCTCCAGTGTATCATAGAAGCTATACTCGTACGAGTATTGTGGGTGGGAAAATATCCCATATTATGTCGGACCGGTCTGGTCTGGTCTGGTCTGGTCTCGTTGACCTCAATCTTCATGGTAGGTAGTTTGATATCCAAACCGGTTGAAAAGAAGATACTGTAAGAAGTACAAGTCCATGGAGGAGAGGAAGTTGAATGCTCACCAAGCTTATTTATAGCTCATGAAGTTAAACACCATGTGCTTGAAATGCTTTTAGTGAAACCACACCGCTCTCGGTCAGCCTGAACAGGCAGGCCGTTTGAGAATCCGTTTTCGTATCACCACTACTCGAGTTACATGTACCGGCGTATATATCTGTACATATATTTGTACACCGTACAGCAATCCTACTTCTAGAGTCAACCTCGCTGATTATCTGATTATCTATCGATGAGTTAATAAGTCAGAGATACCGGTACAGAACTGATAAAGACAAAGACATATCTAGATCGTTGTCTTGGAACTAATCTTCGATATCAATCGAATTACCATTTTCCAAAAGATGTATTACTATTAGGGTTCCAATGATCCGGATGCCATGTTTTGGTAGATCTTTACAAGTAGGTAAACTATTTATATATATGCACTCGAGTTGTATAGTACTCGCTTATAAATCACATCTTATCTTATCTAAACCTCCTCACCGAGTTTGAAAGCTCGAATATCATATTCTATCTAAGGTTAGAATTTAAAGAGACTTTGTACCTATCTATCTATCATTTCTTCTTTTTGACCTCATTCACTTTTGGTGATACTCATTGGATTCGATATATATACTCATTCTCATCATCCTCATCATCCTCGACAAACCCTCAACCTCGAGTTGTGTACCAGATCTCAATTGGTCATCAAAAGACAGAACGATCTTCTAACGGTCAATTCAATGGCTGACTTCCTTCACTTCTTATCCACCCAATCATCGTCATTGTACTCTACTCTACTCGGTATTCTCACCGCATTACCATCCTTCGAGGGAGGCTTCGATAAAGCTTAATAGGTCCCCCGCCATTTTCCCTACTACAATATATAATTACGGGATTCACTTTCTTGATCCACTACTAATCTTCTACTTGTACTACCTCAATTTGTCTTGCCGGATGAGTCAAAACTATTAACAACCTTTTATTTTGTGTCTTCCCGTCTTCGTCTTCCCTTGGCTGGATTATATTTTGACCGACTCACATACAATACGGTAGTATATTTTCCCTCAGTTACAAAGAAGGAATCTTTCTGAAAATATTTTCACATTTTGTATTTACTTTCGTTCTTTGCTACCAGACTCTCGAAGATTATACCGATATCTAGAATCGGCAATACCATCTGGAACAGTCTTCTTTGCATTACTTTAGAATGCTCTTCAACTTGACAGAACTTCTCTCCATCTAGATAATTCAAGATGCTCGATTATAATTCGGGATCCCTTGCGGCCGCAATTTGCTGTCTTCTTGTCGTCACCGTCCTCACTTTCCCATCTGTATTCTCTATACTCTCTCACTTTCGTGAGAAAGGAAAGCAAGATCCCAATAACTATAAGGATAAAGATGGAGTTTCCACAGAAGAAACAATCGCTGCATTTTCAACAAAGGTCCCTAAAACACTACTCGTCCTATCTACACTTCTTGGACTAGGAACATCTTTAGCTCTAGCAATCTTAGATATCTTTCATCATGATGGACTGAAGCTTGAAGATTGGATCAATGTGGCACTATGGGTAGGTTACATCTTTACATTTGAACAATATCCCATTTACTAACTTTCTTAATAGTCCTTCATTTTAATCCAAGCGGTGAGCACTATACTAAGCAGAAGTCCTACGAAATCATTTGCCAATGGTGCTCGTGCAACAATCTCCAGCATCTGCCTTTTCGCCCTCTGTCTTTTCGAAGATAGTCTTATCGTGGAAAATCAAACTGCCCAGGATGACTTCAGTTCAAGTGCGACTTTCTGGCTTCGCATATCTCAATTGATACTCGCCTTATTCGCCGCCATTTCCGGTATCTATTTTCCTCGCCGTCCTCATGTTACTCACAACAAACGGCCAGTTGATGGCATGTTGTCCGTTTCTGCGTTTGGGAGATTTACTTTCTCCTGGGTTGGAGATATATTGGCTTTAGCCTCTGACAAGAAGCGCCTGGAATTACAAGATCTCCCTACAATGGATCACTATACTAGGGCAAAGGACCTCAGTGAAGCATGGGAGGAGAGGAAGCATACCAAAGCGCTCTGGATCGAGATCTTCTTGGCGCATAAATCGCCTTTCGTTTTTCAATGGATCCTTACTGTATTCCAAGCTTTTGGAAATTTTGCACCACAATTTGTGACCTATCAGATTTTGAAGATGTTGGAGGTTCGTCAACCGGGAGACAAAGTACCGTTCACGGCTTGGATCTGGGTAACAACATTATTCTTGGTCACTCTAGCCGCAGCATGGATCGAATCCTGGATGTTCTGGATTTCCTGGTCCGAACTTGCAATTCCTATTAGATCACAATTATCTTCTCAGATTTTCCAGAAAGCCATGAGACGTAAGGATGTGAAAGGTGCCGCTAGATCAGGGAAGAAGTCTATGGCTGTTACATCCGAAGTAGCTCAAGGGTCAATCGCACAAGACAAACCAGAAGATAACGAAGAAGAAGATAGTGATCCAAAGGGAAGGCAATCTACAGTTAATTTGATTGGTGTAGATGCCAAAAGACTATCTGACTTTTGCTCATTCAACAATTACTTTCCTGGTGCAGTGTTCAAGCTTATCGTCTCTTTTTCTTTCTTGATCAGTATCATTGGATGGCAGAGTTTGGTTGCAGGAATGTTGGCGATGTCTTTGACCATCCCTCTCAACATTTACTTCAGCAAACGTTACTCAGCAGCTCAAGACAGACTGATGAAGGTTAGAGATGTTAAGATGGCAGTTGTGACTGAAGCACTTCAAGGTATTCGCCAAATCAAGTTCTCCGCTTTAGAATCGAATTGGGGCAACAAAATTGGATTGGTTCGAAAGAAGGAGTTGGACGAACAATGGAGTGTCTATCTAAACGATACGATGTTACTTTTTTGCTGGATTACAAGCCCTATCGCTCTTGCCGCAGTAGCATTGGCTGTATATGCATACCTACACGGGGTTCTTCTGCCATCGGTCGCTTTCACTGCCATTGGGGTCTTTGTCAATCTTGAAGTTACCCTTAGTGTCATTCCGGAACTTACTACAGACTTGATTGATGCCTACATTTCTATCAAGCGTATTCAAAGGTACCTAGATGGTCCAGAAATATCCGAGAATACCAGTGATGCTCCCAATGTCTCATTTGAGAAAGCCTCTATTGCATGGCCGTGTGCTGAGGGTGAAGATGAGATGGACGGAAACGAACGATATGTCTTGAGGAATGTAGATGTCTCATTTCCCAAGGGAGAATTGAGTGTCATCAGCGGTAAAACCGGTACAGGCAAAAGTTTAATGTTAGCTTCGATCCTGGGAGAGGTTGATATCCTTGCCGGTAAGGTACACGTTCCTCGAGGTCCCAGAGCCGCAGATCGTCACGATCATCTTGCCAACAAAGATAATTGGATCATTCCGACCTCCATCGCATTCGTTGCTCAAATTCCTTGGATTGAAAATGCTAGCATCAAAGACAATATTCTTTTTGGATTACCACTTGACGAGGGTCGTTATCAGAAGGTTATCGAATACTGCGCTCTTCGCAAAGATTTGGAAATGCTTGGGGATGGTGAACATACCGAAATCGGCGCAAATGGTATCAATTTGAGTGGTGGGCAGAGATGGAGAGTCACCTTCGCTCGAGCCCTTTACTCTCGTGCTGGTATATTGGTTCTTGATGACATTTTCAGTGCCGTCGATGCTCACGTTGGTCGATTTATTTATGAAAAGGGTCTTACTGGTGAACTTGGTGTCGGACGTACCCGTATCCTGGTTACTCATCACGTTGCTCTTTGCAAAGCTAAAGCAAAATATCTCGTTGAGCTCGGTGATGGAACTGTAGAAAGTGCTGGTTTTCTTTCGGATCTGGAGGAAGCAGGTACCCTTGAACGTATTATCAGTCATGAAGAAACATCGGAACAAATTGCAGAGGACGAGGCTCCCATTACAGAATCGGAATCATCTACTGTTATCAATGCATCTGAGTCTTCCGACGATGAGAATACCAATGGCAATTCGTTAACGAAGGTACAATCAAGAAAGGAAGAACCAAAGAAATTCGTCGAAGAAGAAACGAGAGAGCAGGGCCGTGTCAAAGGTAAAGTCTACGGTCATTATATAAAGGCCTCTGGCGGATGGTCATTCTGGTCACTTGCCGTAATTGCCTTTATCGGACAACAATTCTTAATTACTGGTAAGACACTTCAACAATGATTATATAGTCTATACAATTACTAAAATTTTTCTTAGGTCGTTCTTGGTGGTTGAGACTTTGGACAGCAAGCTATGAGGAATCTAGCATCCCTACTTCCATGTTCAAAGTTCAAATTGATAATTTTCCATTATACGGATCCACTCATAATTCTTCATTCCAAGCAGAGTCTATCAAGCATAATACCTCATATTATTTGATTGTATATGTTTGTCTTTCCGCAGTTTCTGCAATTGTGGGAACTCTCCGATATTTCTGGATTTACACTGGCTCTATTCGTGCATCTAAGATTCTTTTTGATAGACTTTGCTTCACGGTCTTAAGAACACCTTTAAGATGGATGGACACAGTACCACTCGGTAGAATTTTGAACCGATTTACGACAGATTTCAATGTGGTTGATGGAAGATTGGCCAATGACATCGGATTCGGGGCAAACAACCTTTTTGCATTGATTGGTATCATTTGCACAGGGTATGTAAATCAAGTTTCCATTCTTTGAACTAAAATACTAACAATGGCAGTATCTTCGTCTCTCCATGGATTCTTCTCATGTCTTCAATTCTCTTGGCGCTATGTGTTTATATTGCAATCCTCTATCTACCTGGAGCAAGAGAAGTTAAGAGAATTGAATCAATTTCTAAATCGCCAATCTTCGAGCAATTTGGTTCCGCTCTCACCGGTGTCGGTACCATTCGGGCATTTGATAAGACTGATGTCTACATCAAAAGCATGTGGGCCAAGATAGATAATCATTCTACATCATTCTGGCATTTGTGGGCTTTCAATCGTTGGATGGGATGGCGCATGTCATTTATTGGAGCATTTTTCGCCACTATTGTTGCTATTGTCATTATTCTCATCCCTTCCATCGATGCCGCGCTTGCAGGATTTGCCTTATCCTTCGCACTTTCTTATGGTCAAACAGTCATTTGGACAATTCGTCATTATACTAACCTTGAACTTAACATGAATGTAAGTAGTGGTTGAATCTATGATATCACACTCCCTGATTTCTCTCTATTTGAATTCATCATCTTTTACCCCATCTTCACATCCTCATACAGCTCTGACTTTTGTTTTCCTACAAATGTTTTCCTTTATAGACAATTACTGACTCATCTCTGTTATAGGCAGCAGAACGTATTATTGAATATTCGAATCTGAAGACCGAATCTCTAGACGGACCGGATCCCCCAGCCGCTTGGCCAACTGAAGGTCGTCTTGAAGTCAATGATTTAGTTGTCTCATATGCCGATGATCTTCCACCTATCCTCAAAGGTCTTACTTTCCGTGTGGAACGGAGCGAACGAATCGGAGTAGTTGGACGTACCGGGGCCGGTAAATCATCATTGACTCTCGCACTTTTCCGATTCCTCGAAGCTCGCGAAGGAACCATTCACATCGACGGTCTCGACATTTCTAAAATTAATTTACATTCTCTTCGTTCCCGTTTGGCCATCATTCCACAAGATCCCGTTTTATTTTCCGGTACCGTTAGATCTAATCTCGATGCATTTGATGATCATACCGACTCCGAGCTCCGCGATGCTCTCGAACGTGTACAATTGATTCCACCAAGCGGACAAAATACACCATCCACATCAGGCACCTCAACACCATCCCTTCAACGAAACAAAAATCCCTTCACATCTCTCACATCACCCATCACAGAAGGTGGACTCAATCTTTCTCAAGGCCAACGACAACTCCTCTGTCTCGCCCGCGCCATCGTCTCACATCCTAAAATCATGGTCCTAGATGAAGCCACCTCAGCCGTGGATATGGAAACCGATGCCCTGATTCAACGTTCCATCAGACAAGAATTCACAGATAGTACCTTAATCGTCATAGCGCATCGTCTCAGCACAATAGCAGATTTTGACAAGATTTTAGTATTGGGTGAGGGAAAGGTGGTGGAATTTGGTACGCCAAAAGAACTTTGGGAGTTGAGTGAGGGGGTTTTTAAAGGGATGGTGAAGGAGAGTGGGGAGAGAAGTAAGTTGGAGGATATGATTTTGATGTCTTAGGTGGAGGGGGGAGTGGGTGTGGAGAGGAGAGGAGAGGAGAGGAGAGGAGAGGAGAGAGTGGGGAGGGGGGATCAGGATGGATTTACTTTTCAGCGTTTGAAAAATTGCATGTGCATGAGTGAGTGCATTTGGTGAGCATTTGTTTTACAGCTTTGGGCCTTGGCTTTGGAACTGGACGTCGAACTTGCATAATAAAAATTGGTGTTTGTGAGTGAGTGGTTGGTTAGTTTAATGGTTGCTTAAATGGAGTTTGCATTGGAAATGATAATAGATATGAGAGGTATGACAGGTATGAGAGGTATGATAGTGATACCGGTAGATATCATGGCATACAAATCAAATCAAATAAATCAAATAAATGGTAAATAAAATACTTGAGTGCGCATCTCTTATTATATCATATCATATCATATCATATCATATCAATTTCAACAAATGAATGAATTACTTTTTAGAATGTCAAATATATTATTCATCTATTTGTTAAAAGTGAGTATATATTATTAGACTTTTTAATAATAAGAAGTGGAGAAATATTCATTTCTTGTACATACTAATTACTGATAAGACTTAATTAACTTATAATAATAGCGATAGAGAGATGTCGGAAGGAAAGGGTAGGGAATATAGGGAAGTTTTTATTGGTCAGATGGGAGTGACTGAAGTGTGAGTTGTGAGGTGTGGGTTACTGGGAGGAAGGAGGAGAGATGACTGAGAAGAGATGGAAGATGGAAAAGACAGGGTGGGACTCGGAAAACTAGGGAGATGGATGGATGGATTTGGTTGATAAGTTATGGATATATGTACTGCACCGTGATAAGAATCCAAACCCGTGCAAGAATTGGA